GCGGACTACAGAAAAGACGACCCCACCTCATTCCGGCTGGAGAAGAACTTCACGCTCTATCCACAGTTCATGTTCCACCTGCGACGAAGCCAATTTTTGCAGGTTTTCAACAATTCCCCCGATGAGACCGCGTTTTATAGACATGTCCTCAACCACGAAGATGTTGGAAACTCACTCATTATGATCCAACCCACTTTGGATTCCTACTCCCTAGAGCAGGAGGGCAGCCAACCAGTCCTGCTAGACTCTGCTTCCATCCAGCCCGCACATATACTGCTCCTGGATACTTTCTTCCATATCCTAATTTTCCACGGTGAAACCATGGCGGCGTGGCGGAAGGCGGGCTATCATGAGCAAGAAGGTTATGAGAATTTCAAGGCTATTCTTGACCAACCCAAGGAAGATGCTAGGGTATGTTTTGTTACTATTTACTCTACACATAAGTTTTTTTTTTTTTTTTTTTTTTTTTTTTTTTTTTTTGATTCATGTTTATCTAACATCTCCATTCTTCTTTTTCACAGGAACTTATCCAAGATCGATTCCCGCTCCCTCGCTTCATCATTTGCGATGCAGGTGGCTCCCAGGCTCGTTTCTTACTTTCCAAGCTTAACCCATCCACGACTCACTCCACTGGTGGCTACGGGGGAGGAGTGCAGTCTGCACAAACTATTTTTACGGATGATGTTTCACTCCAGACATTCATGGATCATCTTATGAAGTAAGTAACAACTCCCCCCTCCGTTATGTATCCACGATGGTTATAGAGTGAATGAGTTGCTGACCAAAAAACTCAGATTGGCCGTTTCGGGTACGAGTTGAAATTGAGGTTCGAGTAGTCCAATGGTAAAGTTCAACAATTGAGTTAAGGCCCATGTTTTAGTAACTTGACCGTAATGTATCTTTTAGCGGGAGCTTTTTAATTTAATTTAATTTCATTTCATTTATTTGCCAGGCTTTCTTTTTTATTCCAGTTCTTATAGTTCAACGTTCCAAAATTGTCTAGGATTAATCTCTCATGGATTGGCAGCTTTGGGAGGAGCCATATAATATATATATATATATATATATATATATCACGTGACTAGAGTTTCAGGTTTGTGCCCTAATTGTCCAAAAACGGATCGCTTAGCCAGCACGCTAACAGAGCTTACAAAACTCCTGAAAACTTTCACGGAAGCTTTCTTTTGCTCCTTTAACCAAACCTCATCCACCTCCCAATAACCACCAAGGCAGACTGACTACCTTTCCCATTCGCCATGCGTAAGTATCGTCCCCTTGGTTGTCATCATGACATGGTGACTGGCGACTGATTATGCATTTTGAAAAGCTCCCAAGTTCGACCCCAATGAGGTGAAGATCATGTAAGTCCCCTTCCATTCACACCTCGTTTGGCAAAATCATCCAGCAATGAATTACCATTGCATGCCAATTCTAACATTATCTATAGCCACCTGCGGACCACAGGTGGTGAGGTCGGTGCCCAATCCGCTCTTGCCCCCAAGATCGGTCCTCTCGGTCTCTCCCCCAAGAAGATTGGTGAAGATATTGCAAAGGCAACTGGTGACTGGGTACGTCGTCGAAAATCGCAACCAGTGCCAAATTCCCATCGAAGTTAGGCAGCTAACCATCTTCTTCTTGCTTGCCAATACAGAAAGGTCTCCGCGTCACTGTGAAACTCACCATCCAGAACAGACAGGCGCAAGTCTCCGTTGTTCCCTCTGCCTCTTCCCTGGTCATCAAGGCCCTCAAGGAGCCACCCCGTGACCGCAAGAAGGAGAAGAACATCAAACACACCAAGTCCATCCCTCTCGACGAGATAATTGAGATTGCCCGCGTCATGCGCTCGCGCAGTTTGGCCAAGGAGCTGAAAGGAACTGTCCTTGAGATCCTCGGAACTGCTTTCAGCGTTGGCTGCCAGGTTGACGGACGAAGCCCCAAAGACATCAGCGATGAGGTCAAGGCTGGGGAGATTGATAGTATGTGGTTTTCTTTTTTGGGTTTTTGAAAATTTGCGTTTGGTTCTCTGTGCTAACGGATATGAAAATAGTTCCTTCGGAGTAGATTAGCGGATCCAAATTTTTTTTTTAAAAAAAATGAAAAAAGCAAATATTCTTTTGTATTAGCTGAGGCGATTGGATTTTTTTATTTTCTTCTTTTTCGATGAAACTGTCTATAATGTGTTGTTACCCTACATGCGCAGACAGAACCTGACTCGAAATAATATCTGGTCGACCGCCTAGGTGGGTTTATGAGATATGGCCGCCATTTTAACCTTTTTCCTATTTTTTGTCAATACCAGTTATATACCCCTTCATTCATTTGCCATATCAACAATATCTTTACCTTTCTTAAAAAAATAGAAAAACCCAAAACCAAGGAAACGAATACCAATTTCGTACGTGACATGCCCCCCCACCTTTGCCAACACTCTGGCCCTTACCATACTGTTTTTCTGGGACTTTTTTTCTTCATGGTATAGGCCTATTTTGGTTCAAAGAAGATAAAGTTTTTCTCTGTGAAAACTGACCAACTACTCACCTCGGTATCTTTTGAAATTAGCTTTTCTTCCCGTTCGCGGTAGGTGGAGCTGATTCTGTGGATACGGTGGTCCATCTTTTGCGGTCAACATGCAGTTACACGTAACTGGTTTCTTGCGGGATATCGAAGGTGCCCTGCTTTACCGTGTTAATCGGCTTGAGGGCCATTTAACTCCTTCCATTACATAAATCCAAGAATATATTTTTACATCTCCAATCTAATTTCCAATGTGCCTCTTTTTCTTTAACTCCGCTTTGTCTTTGTGATTTTTTAACCCATAGTCCTGAAGCTTTCGAGATGATGACTGCTTTCCTTCGAAGATTCGAAATATTTCTCCCCTATGCCCAATTGAGTCCTTCGAACGGAAGCACCTGTATTTGTTGCAAACATTGCATATGATATTCCGGTTGTTGCCTCATGCAGCTGATTCCTCCCGAAAGTGCTCACGGTTGCTGTCTGCCAACATTGATAAAAGTGCGATCCATATAGAACCTCATTTAGTGTGTTTTTCAAACGAGCTCCCGAAATTTTTTAAGGATATGTAGCTCTCAAACACTGTTCGTGGGTCGGACTGGACCATTCTCGGCACGGTTGTTCGTGGCGCTCACTGGTACTCTGTAAGGTCCCAATTGCCGATTCGAGGAAGCTTCGTAAAATGATACTGGAAATGATACCGGGAAAAGAAAATCCAGATAATTCCGTTTCATCAAGGTATTATTTTAGATCCACTATCTAGATTTAACACTGTTCTATATTGAGTTGGGATTCTAATGTGGGATTACAAATTGTAAGCATCGAGCATGGGAATAAACATCTTATCTACTGGAGTAACACCCTACATCGATCTGTGTCGTTCTTTTTAGCAGACAAACCCTGCTAACAAGATGAAATGATTCGGTCATATCCCTATATCGAACCTGGAATCGCTTTCTCCCTTTTATTCAGGGTTAAATCTGACAGTGGATTCCACACTCCTTAAGTGCGCAGTGCATTTCATGCACGCAAGCAGCTGTTATGTACAAGTCTCTAACTTTATGTCAACCTTTGTGCATAATCAGCTGTGTAGTTAACTATGATAACTTTTTTAAGCACCTAAAAATAGTTTCCCTTGCCACCGCTAACTAGCTTACAGAGAAAGAATTTGATAACTACCCATTGCATATTCCAACGAACCAACTAATTTCTGGCCATGTGGCCAGCTCCTGAAAATAAGAAAGTGCTCCCAGTATTTATGGATGTTTAGTTGGCTGGACGGGCGGGTGGGCCAAGCGCTTCGACGGAGTTCATCCTGGCTGGTTGTTGCACGCGATGTTGCGGAGGAATGGATGTTGGCGACTAACCAGGCTGACACACGACGTTGAGTTTGCCAGATGCGATGCAAGCCGGAAAATAAAACGAACAAAAATAAAATAAAATAAAAAAAAGTAAGGAATGCCGGTTCGTTAGGTTGGTGCCCAAGTAATAGACGGACGAACCCTGGAAATTTCGCTTCGATCCTATTTTGTCATGATAATAATCTACGCTGCACGTTCGTCGGTTGGTAGCTTTCGAGATTTAAAGTGAGCACCGACGTCGGTAACTGGCCCAGGTGGTCGTAACTCTATGGAAACCTGCATCCAATCAGTCCTAGTTAAAGTATGAGTGTAGCTTACATATGTAAATTTCCATATGCTTTCTTCAATCCCGCTCTGAAGTGGGAAAATAAATTCAGATGATCCTCGACACTGTTATCATATCAAAGGTTGTGACCCCTCACGTCGTCGCCAGATCCATGGGAATCTCTTATATAGCATATCCTGTAAATGTTACATGGTTGGGACAACAGATGAAGTATCAACTGCCGGAAAGAGTCAACCGAGGGGGGGGGACCACCGTTCCTTTCTGTCAATTTTTACAAGCAGATTTCTCCCATCAACCGCCAACCAACCTCTCTCCATTTTTCAGATGGCCTGGCCTGGAAAATTTTGACGAGCTCTCCTTTTTTTCCTGCTTCTGCCAACAGGAAGATGGAATCTGGATCCTATCACACATGAACCCTCCTCCTCTTATTCTTCTCCATCTGAAAACCCGCAAAACCCGCAACAAGCTGATCAATTGTAGTGCTATCTTCTATCCTCAACACCCCTAGGTTCGATCAACCAACATAGCTTTCACTGCTTACTCCGTAGCAATAACAGTGAGAGGGTTGGTGAGGATTACACCGTTCCCGATACCTGCTAATAGCCAGCGTCTCGAGACAAATGCTCAGTTAATGCCAGAGTGCATCAGAACGGAGCGATCGGAGCAATAGAACTAAAGAAAACTCTTCTTTTCCTATAGATCTGTGCAGGTGCTTAGTGAGTTCACCACGGCATCGGTTGATCGATATATATCAACAACGAAGTTCCACAAGCACTTCTGGGACACGGGATGGACTAGGCATCCCCGGACCAGACTCAGGGCAACAGCCAACTTAAATAAATTCAACCAAAATCTGTAAAAGCCGGCTGGACGGAGAGTTCTGGAATGATGCGCGGAGATATATGGATAATAGAACTGTAGGAGCACCGTATGTCATCTGTGGTCCCTAGAACACTTGAGTCCTTGGGATTCCGAATCCTCAAAACATCAATCGTTTTGCCATCGTCGAAATCCACCATGATAGCCTTTAATATAAACGGTCTGCCCATCCATTGTGAGTGGTGGGCAAAGTCAAAAGAGGAGCTAAACGTGTTCAGCAACTTGCCTACATGTGTAACAACACAGGTGTAAGCAAGACTGCCTCTACCACAAGGAATAGCAGTAGTGCTTTTCAAATGATAGAATTACACGGGCTATATTTGTTCAACTGCCTAACCTTCTACCAGTCATTTTGTTGAATTCCCGGACAAGGGCAGATGATGTACCTAGGTACTTGAACAGAGGGCGAGTGACATAAGATAAGAGTGATGTCTAGAAATGCAGATAGATCACTTTTCCTCTTCGGTTTAGTCTGAAATTTCTATATCTTGGACCTCAGCTCGATCGCATCTCTGGCCGGGCATCATTGTCACGTTCTAGGGGCGAGGTTGTCCACGGGTCCTTTGCTCATTTCGATAAATTTCAACATGTACTATCATCCGGGACATTCTGTAGTAATAAATAATCTATTGGGGTTGGTTTCGAGGGTTGTTTTGAGGCTGGTTCAAGAAAGGGAAGAAAAGGGCCATCGAATGGACTGTTTGTTGGCTGGTTAAAAAAAGGGATGGTGATGTCCGGTATCGATATTGATAGGATAATACGATCATGCACGGCCTGGTCAAGCCGTTTGCGTGGTAGCTTGTGCGGCCAACCGCATCAACCTTTTTAGATTGAACGGTGGGACCGGGACGAATGTTGATTCGGAGTCGCGCAAAGGCATTGTAAATATTTGTTCACATGAAAATAATCAACAATGAGCCCAGAGGATCCGTCTGTTCTGTAGCGACGCGAATAAACGTATATTGGAAGGAATATATCAGAATCGCAAGTATAATGAGGTGTTTGATAAAGAAGTTTGTCCATGAATCTGGTTCTTGTAATTCTGTTCTTCCCATAACTACCTGATCTGCGTGTCAATCTCCTTGAAGCAAGTATATAGTTAATGGGCCTTGTGCTTCCAAGGCGGCAAATCATAAATCCATGTATTTATTTACAAAAAGCAAAAACAGCCCAGGGTTGACAGCGGGAAGCGTGATGACATCGTTTTGTGTTGTCCATTAATCTTTCATGCAGCCCACAGGTCACCATTTTCCTTTTTTTTTCCCCCTTTCCTCTTTTAGGAGAGATAGTCACAGGAAAAAGGTGCAGAATTAGCACGACATAAATAACTATATATCAAAGGCTGCAAGCACGCCTAAACAAACATCACGAACAATGGAGAACAACGAAAAAAAGGAACCAAAGTGATGAAACCGATCCTCAACACCCTTTCAAGGTTGGCGGTTTACCGGCGTGTTGGCTTTCAGCCACATGCCTGGCGTCAACTTTAATTTCCTTTTGCTTTTGTGGCTTAATCTTGACTTTTTCAAAGTTTTCTTCATTCATGTTGCCATTATGCAGTGGAGGTTGCTCCCGAGGCAAGGGTGGACCGGCCATTTTTTTGACAACGAGATCGAAACAGTTGATTGTTGAATTATGGGACAGAGACCTTGTTTTTTGGGGGGGTTGAGGGGAAAGTAACTGGAAGGATAGATTGAAAAACGGCAGCAAAGCTCCATGTAATAATTCAGGGTTCATTGGAATTTGATTGGGAGGGAAATTTTGGGTCAAGCAGACCTTTAAAGAAGAGTGGCTTTGGGCGAGAGAGTCTGTATCGCGGGCACTGTTCTCCGCTCAGGTCTTTTTGTCAAATTTAGGAGTGGAGAAGCTTTCCAAGGTTGGCTGATAAAATAATGGATCATGTCATCCTCTGGAATAATCTGGATCTTGAGGCCTGGGTAATACGATAAAAATTCCATACGGAGCTAGGTGGGGCTTCATGTTCTCGGGGTGGTTTGGTCGCGTGAATTCCAAGACATATCTTGCAGCGAAATATTTTATTTTGATAATAGTGAATAAATCATGGCGGGGTGCTCTGTTCTTTAGATAAACATACTCTGGATAGAATGCCCAAAGCAAGGAATCATCGAAATACAGAGGTCATATTTTGGTGACTGGCACATCTTATCCTTGGAAATGGCGAACCACTGGCCTCAAGATCAGGGGATGGATGATCGTGAACATCACACCCTTTTTGAGCTTGGCTCTCCACTGATTGATAACTACCACCCACTGTAAGAATTAAAAAGTATTAGTGACCCGTAGCCTGTGTGCTGTTGGGGATCAGCATGGTATCATCCATAGGATCTTCCGATGCATCCCGTGGAAACATCAACAGCTTCCAATGCAGCGGAGGATTATCCCAGTTTCAGCCAGAATCGTGAGCTTGGCAGTTAGCCTGTCGACACCAATTCCCACGAGAAACTTTCGCAACTGTTTTCCTGATGACTTTGCTCCTTTCTTTTTTCCTTTTGCTTTCTTTCTGGCCAGCTGTTGACTAGTGAGCGTCGGTCGCGGACACATAGACACAGGACTCGAAGGACTGAAAGGATGTAGGGATTTGCCCTGTGCAGGTGCAATGCATCCAGTGTTGAAGTGACTCTCGATGTGAATCTGTAGCTATTGGTTGTGAGTTTCCGCGTTGGTTCAGCACTACTGCTGGAATCTACGTGCGTGCATGCGTTGGGCAGAAGACATAGCCAGCTCAGGAGTGATGAGAGGACAACGACATGGTTGAAGATATTTCACAATATATTAAATGCACGAGATTGCTTGCGTATCAAGCCCCATCCATCTACGAACGCTTGAGCGAGGGTTATTATTGGGGAGGAACCAGTGAGTGTTAAGTTTCGATCAGCTCATCAGTTCCCACTCCAGAGTTCCACAGCCCGCAGAAGCCCCATAAGCGGCCGCGTAAGGAGCCCCTTCCAGCCTAGGTTCCAAGCCCGTTAAACTAACCACCCACTACTCCGTCCACTACTCCGTACCCCTTCTCCACGTCCTCACCCATCCAACCGCCCCTCCTCCCACTCCCCCCCCCTCCTTCCCACCTGGCGCCCCATCCCCCAATGCCCCGGACCAGCTCCCTGACCCACCCCCAGGCCCATCCATGTCTACAGGCTGACGCCCCTGGCTGCCGCCCAATCCCCGCAGCCCAATAGCCAGCCAGAGCTCACCTCCCTTTGCTTGCTTTGGCTTGCCCACCCCCGCCCCTCCCCCAAAACAAAAACAAAAAAAAAAAAAAAAAAAAAAAAAAGGGCTACCTAACCAAGCTTGAGGCTAGAACATAACTCCTCACCACATCCTCTCAAACTCTCAGAGGCAACACCGCCCACCCATCTCCAACCACCAAGAGAGAAAGACCCTCCTCTCCAACCACGTTGTTAATCAGCCGTCAGTCGTTCGGTCCAATAATCCTCACCTTCTTCTTCCTCCTCTGATTTTTTCCCTTTTCCTTCCCGTCCTTCTTTCGACATCATCCCGCGACTTCTGGGTAAATGGTCCACCACCCATCACCAACCACGGTCTCCCTCGCCCAAGAAGCTACCATACCATACCATTCCCCGTCTTGACGTCTTCTTGTTTTGGGCCTCTCGATGTTTGGTCGTTTCCTGGCCCCGTCCCGCGTCCATCCCGCTAGTCTCTTTGTTTGCTTTTTTCTACCTCATTTCCCACTCGATTTTTCTGCTCGATCCAACTCCTCCCTCTGGACTCTGGAGAATCCCGCCGTTACGTTCCACCTTTTTTACACTTAAATTTTGGATTCATTGGCAATATCCATTTGCCAGTATTGAAATCTCGAAGTCTCCGCAAATTCCGACGCCTATCTATAATTCTGAAGTGTACGTGGGGTGATTGGATATGGATGCATACTGAACATACTCCTCTACCGTACATGCATCCCCAAGTTGTATGTGACCCAACACGGAAGAGTATTTTGTTAATAGATATATGAACGGACTGTTGTCATCTTGGCATCATCAGCTCTTTTGCCCCCAACCACTCACTCTCCTTCACGCTACCCTTCACTTGACTTGCCTTGCCTCCAACTCTTTGTTCAGTATTTATCTCTAACTTTTAGAAAGAGGGAATCTAGACAGTCTGAGGGATCTTTTCCCCCGTGAACTATTAGCGGTGCTGCCTCCCCAACGCAACCCACTCCGGAGTCCCACCTCGGAACTAAGTTCGTAAAAAGCGAGCAACCTTACATGCTTCCCCCGCGAATAACATCACGAATTTAAAATAATATCCATATAACCGTCGAACCTCTACTCAGAGTACTCAGTATCACACAGTCCTTTCCGGCCTTGCGCTCATATCCGTTTCTTACGTACAGTGGTTTACTGGGTATCAAGCAAACCACCATCAAGTCATTTCCTTGATGGTTTGTAGTGTTTGTGCAACACCGCATCCCAGAGGCAATCAACATTTGTTCCAATACGACCTCATTAAAACCAGGACGAGATATAAGTCTGCTGGCCAATCTTTTAGGGCCAACCGATACACTCGAAGTTGCCGTTTATTCATTGTCCTTTGTAAGGGAATGAACTCATCGGTTGAAGTGATGTTTATTTTATTTTTATTTTATTTTATATTTTATTTTTTTATTTTATTTTTATTTTTTTTATTTTAATTTTTAATTTTTTTTTTTTTTTGGCAGGCGATCAGTGCGTGTTCTAACCGTGTATATTTTTGATTAGCTATGGCATGATGCGGTGTCAGAAACGATTAAAGGAACGGTTTTTTCGATAACGAGCTGGGCAGGCTCCCTTTCATCTCTCGCTCTTGTCCACCACTTTTCCCTCCCTCCGTACCCCAAGAGGGTGCCCCCCTCCCAAGACCGTAACAATGTTACCATCTGTGGCACAGCAGTCTCACCATTTTCTACATCACCATCTTGACCATCAACCGCCTTTCGACTGGTTGGATCCTCCGTACGATGCGGCCAGTAACGCCTTGCGCACTGCTTTCCGTCACGGAGAGCAGTGCGGATACCCAGCACAACAGCAACATTCGTCGATGCTACGTCAACAACGTGTACAGTTCCCCCGGCCTATCCAGCGACCAACTGCTCAAGATCTGACAAGCTCTGCCGTGGTCAGAAATGGAAGCACTGCAGAGAATACCCTGAGGCGGAAAACCCCTAACGGCACCCTGGCCGCTGGATATGACGGTACTTTGGGGGATCAATCAATTCAGCGCCCGGCATTGAAGCACATTTTGGTTTCCCCGTTAGAGAATGGCCAGGGTATATCACAACACTCAGGCCTACCAGCAGATTCATGGCAATTCAAGGGTCTCGATATCCTTCCATCATCTCAATTCCAAAGTTTCCCGCCGACATACAAGTTCGACGTAATCACATCCGCTGGCCTTCCTTGTGGCATGTCCCAAAACAACAATGGAGCCAGCTGGATTCGGTCCTTGAACTACCCATCTGGTGTCGATTCATCACTAAACCAAACAGCATCGTTGCTTGCGTCCCAAAGGCACTATTTGCCAAATGGTCCTTCGATTCCCACTATATTAGCTGCGTCAATGCAGTCTAACCTTGGTCCAACTGCGTCTGCTGGCGTTGGTCCCTATGGTCCATACTGGCCTGATGGTGCCTATATCCCCTATCGACCTGCTGCTTCTCGTGATTCACGGTACCAGTCAACCCCCGCATTTGGTCCTGTCCAAGACAACTCTGCTGCTTTAGCTTCTCTCCAACAGCCTTTTAATAGGCAATCTCTCCCTTCGACTGACCTGCTTATACCGGGATTCTCATTGAATCCTGTTCCGGCACAGCCACCACAACGAAATCTCCATCAGTTGTATAATTCGGACCCATCTGCCTTGGAGTCTTTCCCCCCTCGTCTTTCACATCAGAATCAGATAGATACGCTCTGGGACCAGAATAGTGTCCCTTTCCATACACGATCGTTGCAAAATACACGACATGATACTGTACATCATCACCCTCAACAACAGCAACCCCAACCCCAACACCAACACCATCAACCAACCGAACTAGAAAACCTCAACTGGCAAGCGCCCCAGCAACCGAATGTGTTTCAGGGTTCAGCTGCAGATATTACTTCGAGACCCAAGAATACAGAGTTTAAAGAGAAGATTCTATCATGGGCGCACAGTGTGTATGTCGATCTACTTACGTTACTTCATACTCGAAGGAAAAATGCTGCGCTGGGGGTACAAGATAGTGATGCTCGTCCAAAACCGAATATATACCCTAAACCCCCCCGACAACCTGCTTCTGACTTCAGCTCACATACTGGAAATGTTGACACTAGTCTCGATAATATTCATGGGACTCCCATTCCAAGCCAACATTTCCCTCTAGCCCATGCGCGACAGGTGGATATGACTCTAGGAAATCAGATCGATGGGAAGCAATTTCCTCCAAACCACTCTGCGGTATCTGATAACAATTTCATTCGCAACTACCATGATGATCGCGCTCCTTTCGGTCAACACCCCAGTCATCGATTACCGGAGAGCCGTTTCCTTGATCATTTCCGCACGATACGTCGTTCTTCAGGTCCTGCTGTGTACCGTGAGACCTCTGTGATGGAGAATGCTGCGTGTGCCCTGGAAATTCTGTCCAGTCTTTGTCTTGAGAGTGGGGGGGAATGGATTGATGGAATGCTGGTTGGTGGATGCCTGGCCTATGGTCTTGGGGATTATGACAAAGCGCTTAGGTGGTATACTCGGATTATCAATAAGGATGCTTCGTACGTGCCAGTCTATCCTCATTTATCGTAGCCGGAACACATTTTGTCTTCATTATTCTAACATATATTTCTCTAAAAGGCATGTTGAAGCGATTTCTAATCTTGCGGCTACACTTTTTGCTCTCGATCGACGTGAGGAAGCACTAAACCATTGGCTCCGTGCTGTCAAGTTGCGACCAAGCTATTTCGAGGCGGTAGAGCATCTCATCGGTCTCCTATGCAGCAGCCAGAGGGGTAAAGAAGCCGTCAATATCATTGAATTTGTCGAAACTACTCTCCGACTTACACCCAACGGCGAATGTTTCAAGATGGATGGCCGTATGAGTGAAACTGACAGTGAAACAGAGAGTCGATCATCAAGCGTGTCAACTACTGAATCCGTGGATAAAGCAGTTTTCGACCATGAAGCGGACCCGGATTGCCCTCCTAACTTTAATGCTCATTCAAAGGAGAATGCTGCCCCTGGCTATGGATCAAGTGGATATGCCATACCTGGTTGTGACAATGGAAGAATGCTTGCACTTATCCACGCGAAAGGTAATATGCTTTATGCTCTAGGTGATAACGTCGGGGCAGCCGCCGCCTTTGAGGACGCCATCCTAATCGGAGCCGGGAGACGACGACGTGGAATTCGAAGCCTTATCAGACTAATTTTGTCGGCTTTCGAGGAAGAGAATCGCCACACGCTGCCGGCGCCCCACCACCAGCGCGACCCTACGAGTGCGGTGCTACTTTTCCCTGATAAGGCGCTACAAACAGCGAAACTCGCTTTCCGTCCTCAAGGAAGCCTCCCCGGATTCCAGCATATTCCAGAAGGTATTGCCAAAAAAGCGGCTATTTCAACTACCAGTAACTCGTTGCTCTCGCTCGCCAAAATTTACCAAGATGGTATGTCAACCAGTTCCGCCCCGGGAGGCTCAAAAACGTCCACTGGAGTCCGTGACATTCTGGCTCTCTACTACCTTTCCCTGTCTCTTCAACCCAGCCCGTCCACGGCTAATAACGTTGGAATCTTACTCGCCAGTATCCAACACAACGGGCCACCGTGTGCTCCGTGTGCAGCTGGCGAAAATCAATTGCCCGATATCCCTGGTGTTGTTCCCGGTAGTGGGATTGCGCTTGCCCTGGCTTACTATAATTATGGTCTTAATCTTGATTCGAAACATGCTCATCTTTATACCAACCTTGGCAGCTTGTTGAAAGACATTGGGCAGCTCCCTGCCGCAATTAAGATGTATGAGCAGGCGGTGCAATGTGATAGCAAATTTGACATTGCATTAGCCAATTTAGCCAATGCTGTTAAAGATTCAGGCCGGATTAACGATGCCATTGGCTACTACAAACGAGCCGTGGCTGCTAACCCCGACTTTGCAGAGGCGGTATGCGGCCTTGCAAACGCATTGAACTCTGTTTGTGATTGGGGAGGCAGGGGAGGAATTGCAGCTAATAATGGCTCTCGTGATCGGTGGCATGTTGATGACAAGGGAATGCTTCGAGATGCAAAAGAAATGGGCGTTGATTCGGGCTGGATCAAACGAGTTGTTGAAATCGTGGATAAACAGCTCAAAGATGGGGAAACATGGGGTTCTGGTGTGCTGGCGACCATGCCACGCGACCAGCTAGGCCTCAGTCTTGCTCTTGTTGGTAAGGATTCGGCTTTACTTACCTACCACGCTTCTTTGAACGCTCTGTTGCGAAGCTGGGCTGGCCAAAAGTGGGAAGGCTCGAGAATCGTGAGACTCGTCGAACGTGCGATAAAATGGATCGGTTGGCAGTGGTATCAGGATCGATACGTTCATGGCAAAGAGTATCCTCTCTCAAAATACTCGAGACCCCAGCTTCCAGCTAGCTTAACCGCTCCTAATGCACCAACTGTATTACCATTTCACACCTTCACATGTCCCCTCTCAGCCAAGCAAATCCGCCATATTTCACAGCGCAATGGCCTTCGGATATCGTGCTCCACCCTTCGATCTCCCTGGCTCCCTGCTACAGTATACCGTCCTCCTCCCCCACCAAACCCGCACCTAAATGTTGGATATGTTTCCTCCGATTTCAACAACCATCCTCTAGCACACTTGATGCAGTCTGTTTTCGGTCTCCATAACCCCTCTCGTGTCAAAGCGTTTTGCTATGCCACAACTGCCAGCGACAACTCTGTTCATCGAAAACAGATTGAACGCGAAGCTCCTGTTTTCCGCGATGTCAGCAACTGGCCGGTAGATCGATTAGTGGAACAAATCGTGAAAGATGAGATTCACATTCTGATAAACCTTAACGGATATACACGTGGCGCAAGGAATGAGGTTTTCGCTGCTAGACCGGCTCCTATACACATGTCATTTATGGGATTTGCGGGCACACTCGGAGCTGAATGGTGTGATTATATTCTTGCAGACCAAATTTCAATCCCCCTTGAAACACTCACACCAAGAAAACGCGTGATTCGAATCGAGGATCGGTTGGTAGAAGAGAACCATGGTGAAGACCTCGAAGATTGGATATATGGAGAGAGAATAGTGTTCACCCGCCAAACCTTCTTCTGCTGTGATCACCGACAGAGTGCTCCAGATTCGCAAGACAGGCGTTTGACATGGGAAGAGGAACAAGCCAACAGGTGGAAAATGCGTAAGGAGATGTTTCCTGATCTTCGGGATGACGCTATCATTCTAGGGAATTTCAACCAGCTTTATAAGGTATGATACGATGGGTTCTACTCTTCAATCATTTCCCTTTTAACTCAACCATAATTAAAATTACTTACACGTTTTTAATCTACTCTAGATCGAGCCAACTACTTTTCGTACGTGGCTTCGTATTCTCTCCCGCATCCCGAACGCAATTCTGTGGCTTCTCCGTTTTCCAGACCTTGGTGAGCATAACCTCAAGCAGACGGCTATTGCGTGGGCTGGAGAGGCCATTGCCTCGCGCATTGTTTTCACCGATGTCGCTCCTAAACATGCTCATATTTCCCGTGCTCGCATTTGTGATCTATTCCTTGATACCCCTGAATGCAATGCCCATACCACCGCCGCTGACGTCCTCTGGAGCGGGACCCCACTCCTCACCCTACCTCGATACAAATATAAAATGTGTTCTCGCATGGCTTCTAGTATACTTACCAGCGCCCTCCCACAAACAGAAGCCGGCCGACAGGCTGCTTGCGAATTAATCGCCTCTTCAGAGGAGGAGTATGAAAGCCGTGCTATAAGTCTCGGGCTAGGTTTGAGATATGAACTAGGCGGCCAAGGCCGCGCCCGGGGAAGACTGATCGAGTTGAGGAAAATGCTTTTCTTAAACAGATGGGAAAGCAAACTTTTTGACACCAATCGATGGGTGAGCGATTTAGAAGATGCCTATGACGCGGTCTGGAGAAAGTGGGTTAGAGGGGAGGAAGGTGACGTGTGGCTTTAAAAGCTTAGCACACTTGAGTCCTTAACCTTCTTCGCCTTCGATACATAATATGCCCTTTCTACAGGATACATTTCTACACTTACATGGCTTTTGTCATTCATCTCCGAAAGACCCTTCTGTTCTATATGTTTAGCCCATATGTCCTTTGTCTTGCATTGTTAAATGTCTGTTTTTACATAGCCTTGTCGTATGTCTCCGAAATATGGCAGTCTCGCCTTTTTGTGAAGATTTATTTTTTTGAGCCTTCCGAAGGAAGCGTGTGTTGTATTCGATGGCGTTATTATTTGACAAGCATTTATGCCTCTTGGAGGAAACCAGGTATAAACTCTGATTATCAAGGGACTCGTGTGGAATCCAGTCAGGGACAAGCGAAGAAGAAAAGAACTGGGTATGAATTGGAAATGGGATGGTTGCTTGGCTCTCGTTTTTGGACCGGCACTTTCGAATCAACCGTTAACATTTCCTTCTCTCATTTACCATGAGAAGCAGCTTCTTTCTCGCTCCCTTATTTGCCGCACTTCTTTTTTGAACTTTTCTCTCCATTCTTGCTTTTTGGGTGTTACGCATAGTTTTCTCTCCCGTTATGAACCTGTTTTGGGATAGAGATTTAGAGATTCATTTTCTAGTGGGATTATTTTGCCTCATTTTCTGCTGTATCTGCTTTGCTCGACTCTCTGTATATCCAGTATCTCATTGTGGCGGGTTGTAAAACCAAGCTTCCCCATTCCCCGATTCCCATCTCTTTATTATTTTACTTGTTTTTATTTTTTCCCCCCATTATATCTGTAGCCCTTGCCCCACCAAGCAAAATGCTTCTATATAAATTATGGCTATTTTACCTATCAGTCAGTCTCCTTCTGGGAGAGTTGTTCCTTGGACAAAATCACAGCCGCCCTCTCGTCAGATCGTAATTATGATACGATATGAACTGAACTTGGCAAATATGATATATCAAGTCAACTGCTGACATTGATCACAAGTGACAAATGACGAATGATGATTTATGTCTATCTCTTTGGAAACAGGCGCCAACGAATACTCGCTTATTCGTTCTGCCAACTTAAATTGTCTTCCTCTCTTTTCTCGACCCCTTTTTGTTGAACACAGGCACTGTTTTGAGGTTCTGTGACGGGAGTTTGTGTGCAAAATTTGGTTACATCTTCATTTAGTTTCTTTTCTTTTCTCCTGCAAGTAATCGAGCTTGTGGTCCTCATGTTTCCTTATAAGATGAATGCCATTCTATATATTAATGGTTAATTCAGCTAGCCTGTTTATGATTTCTTTCGCATGGGATTTTATTTCATAGACCTTTCTCTCTCTCTCTCTCTTTTTGTTTGACTTGCATTTCTCTTTCGAGACCTCTCTTTTTTCTTTCTTTCTTTCTTTCTTTCTTTCTTTGTTTGAAGAGAGTAATTATTCTGAAATTCTTGTCATGTATCTGTGTCTACTCAGAAGTTGATTTTTCATTTATAATTGTTCTTATGAGTTAAGTATACATTTCTGCTCTGCTTCTCTCGAGTAGAGTGCCTCAATTTTACATATATGCCTAAATAGGAGTATAGAATATGCATGCGTAAATACGGATACATTTGCTCTGCAGATCTATTTACTCAGCCGCCACAACAAGTTTTAAAATGAGAGAACAGTGAAATAAGACAATGTATTCTCATCTGTGACAAATATATTCGCCCTAAAGATTTTGCTACCAATGAGATACAGTTTAAAACAGTTCTTAGAAGCACGGCTGGCACCATATCCTTAGAACAGAACTTTACATCAAAGAAATCAAGAGAAAATCAGCAAACGTCCTCAAATTTGGAAAGTGCTTGCTGTCGAATGACAGCATCATTGTTAAGCTCCACAGTAAGGAGATAGAAAGTGTCACGCTGGCTAAAAACAAACCCTGAAGTGTATTCTAAAATATCAAAACCTCGAATGCAAAATTGTCATTTTGCAATATGCACAACTAGCTATCCCATATATCTGTTGGTTTTCGTCCATATCAAAAATTCTCTTGTCGAGTAGGCCTATGGGGAACAGAGGACTGGACAGCAAGCAACACTTGACATGCTTGCTGCCTCAAACTATGGGACTGGAGACAGCAGGACGACTATTCGCAAAGCATTGACATCAGATAGTAATGCAGGTAGAAAATTGGGGCATTGCCGGTCAAGCCATTGACAACTCTGAGAGACCATTACTATCGGGCAGCCCAGTTTTTCGCTTCTTGCTCACACTGAGAAACGATCATCTCAGGAGAGGCCTGCTCCAGGAAATCAGAAAGAAGGGAAACGAGAACCCTTTTTTTCTTTTCTTTTTTCTTTTTTCTTTTTTTTCTTTTTTTTTTTTTGTAAGGTCTTAATTGCACGTGGAACAGTGCTTGTTGGTGATCAACCAGAGTTCATCGCAAGCAGAGAAAAGGCTGGTGGACTGTGCCAGGTGGTATCTCTCCAGAAAACCCGGGATCCCGGAAAGAAACCATTGAGAGTTGGCGTTCGAAGGAGCTGAGAGTGAACGCCTGTAGATCATGTAACAATAACCAGCTCTCTGGGGCTGGGTCGGTCAAACGGTAATGTTCATGGTGACCTCTGTGGGTATCGAACGACAAAGAGGGAGAGAGGTCTCGTTGGGTTGGTGGGTGAAAGACCCATTGCATTGCATGCCCCGTATGAATGTCCTCGCCCAATTATTTGGGGCCAGAACCAAGCGCTCTCGATCGCTCAACAGGCGTCCTCTTGTCTGTTGTACGAGAGCTGACCCACAGAGATCGAATGTTTTTACTAGGAAGATCTGTGGCTACCTGTGTCCAGCCAGGATTTTAAACATGGTTAGATCGGGGCCAACCTCGGATTTCAGCTCGGTAGTCCATCTCTTTTCCTGGTTTATCAACTCCGGTCCACCTGGTATCCAGTTTTGTGGGTTTATTGCTTTGCGCCTTTGGCCGGTTTATCCGGCTGGGGGATATCAAGACTGGATATCCAGTCTATCATGCAGGCTACCGAGGTAGGGGGGTAACGACCTCTGACATGAACAATAATGATTCTCGGTATCCCCCACTGTAACGTTGCCTGTATTTCTTTTTCTTGATGGTCCATGTGCATCGCCCGCCCTTCCCATACATGTGGCATCGTTGGAGTCGTTAAAAACAGAATTAACTGGTATTATTAAACCAAGCCACAGCTGTTTAGTGAGTGGACAGGGCGGAGTTGAATAGCGATTTCACTAACTAGTTCATAGTTCATTCAGCATTGTTATGAAAGTCCTAGCAGTTAACAACATATCTTTGCTTCCAGCGCCGATATCTTAATTGCTCCAAAAAAGGAGACGAACCCGATCAGGACAGCAGAACAGGGTCATTCACGATGTGAGCTGGCGCATCCTGCATCCATGTATGAGAGACGGGCCAAAATTTGGGCTGCATGAGAGTTTAACAAGGGTTCCTGAGCTTTAAAAAAAAAAAAAAAAAAAAAAGAAGTTTCTACACGTTGTTTGGATGCAACAAGAGTCCAAGCTTCTTGGATTCATCCTCCAAGTTCTATCGAGTCTAGATGTGGATTCGGCTGGCGGAGCACTCGCTTGTTTGGAGGCCGTTTTCTTAGTTATGCCCACATATTATCGTAGCCATGTGGGGCGATGGATCGAGAAATGATATTTGACGACGGTGAGCTAAACGTTTCTCGCCTAAAAACACGTTTTCAAGCACGCCAGGCCACCCCTTTGTGAGTTCTCGAGTCTCGACCAGTGGGATTTTTACCTATCCTGGGGTTTTCCCAAGGCCAAAAAGGAAAACGGCTAAACGTCAAACGGAAGGGGGAAATAATCGTCTCTCTGTCTGTTTTCCCCCGCGTTGATGCGGGTGTGATTACTCATACACCAACCATGGAGGTTCTCGGGTCATGCCAAAGGTCGGACTTCGTCTTACTAGTAATGCTCTTTCATCGTGCGGCCCCGGCGGGGAGGGAGAGAGTTTACAATTAATTGTATAATAGCGATATCTCTCCACCGATCAAAATGGATTCCCAATTACCAGACTCTGGGGACTTTTGCGAGCCGTTGGTGGATTAGTGTGGAGCAGACTAGGGCTCAAGAAGCGAGGAAGCGAGAGATTCGTTTTATTCTTGAAAGCAAGACAAGAAATGTTTTGCTGGGGATTCTGGCAACATTTTCTGCGGTTAACCTCAGCGAGCAAACTGTTAGAGGCGAAGCGATCGAAGACATTCCAACCTTCACCCCTGGAGCCTGGAGAGTAAATCCAGCCTCCAGGTCATAATACTCTCTCCTCGTATTATGCTTGGCTGGGAGCTTGGGATTCACTGGCTACCAAACAAGCGAACCATCACATGGACTGTCCATACAAGTTCAGCCTATATGTACCAAGCGCCCGGCTGGGTTGGCATCATATTCTACGAGAGGATTCAGCTCCCTTTGACAGAGTCTTATGAATATGTTGCAGTTCTAGTGGGACCAGAGCTCGGTTTGGTAATGTTTGATATTGAAAGATTCGAAAGGCTTCATCTGTTGCTCTCCGATTACCCCTTATTTCTTCTCCGTCAACCAAGCAAGCGGCCCTGACCAACAGAAGGTAGACCGATGTCACCGCGACCTGCGCAGGTTGGCATTTGCATTGGTATAATGCTAGCTCTTGGATAAAAATGTACAGCTATCTACTTGTTGTATGTATGTACATTACATCGCTACATAAAAGGGCAAGTGTGAAGAATGTCAATGCATTAAATCATTGTTGTTTGCAGACGGTATTAGTATCTATTTTATTGATCACCTCTCGAGTTGTGTCCCCCATTATACTAATACGCTAGCAGATGGTAGCAATAATATGCGTCTCCTCACGAGTTATTTTCCCCACCAACTGTGTTTCTCTTCTGGAATATTAGAAGATAACTGACGTTGGCGGAAGTGCAGGCCGGTATTCAGATACTGGCCTAATCGCCTCATTGGAATGATCTTCAGGAAGCTATTGCCATGGGCGACATTACAGCTTTTGTGTGAATCCATACTTCATGTATCGGACCGCATATATGGAAGCAATACTTGGAAGGATGGACTTGTCTGATGTTTTTGGGGTTAGTTGTTTGGGGAACGGACATTCCTTGACAATGGCTGCACTCCTCCTGCCGTTGCTTGGTTTTCAATCCAATTGAAATGAACTAGGAAGTGCATTTGTCGGATAGGGTAAATTTGCTTAGACAATGGATGGAACCTTGGAAGGCGGCGCGTGGCAGGGGGCAATGAAGCCTTGGTGGAGGTAATCCTGCGAATTCATGCTAATGGGTTCAAGTCAGGATATGGTGATCACTTCTCTACAGAGCACATAGGAACAATGTGGAGATGTGAAGGATTGAATGTAGCTGGGCTGAAACAAGCTATCAAAGCAGTTAGGGATCCTATATTGGAGGTATTTGTTTGTTTTGTTCTTGATAGTTTTTATTTTATTGTTTTATTATTATTATTATTATTATTTGAGAATAACACCATGTAATCTAATATTCGTCCATGCTTTTGTCTGGATCTGTGCTGTTCATAATGTACTCTGTATGGCAGACATGTAACTACATACATACATTACAACGCTGAACGTTTCATATGCCCATGCCCGTGAAATGCTTGTTCGTGTTTATCGATGAACCAGTAACAACCTGTGGGTTCCACATCCTCGTCAAAATGTTGGCGGCTTCGAAAGGATTGCAAAACTTACAACATGTGCCAGCTAGATAGCTAGATCCGATGGTAAGCTCAACGGTCGATCAGAATAAGGAGAAATTTTTAGTATATCCAGGGCTGGTGAGAGCAACAAGGGGCCCTTTTGTTTCTGCTGCCTCGTATCAAGGAGCAACAGCACAACGGTTTCCTTGATTTTCAACCAACTGGAACTTCGGGGAAAATTGTCATGCATTTCAACAAGTCCCGCCGCGGCTTTTTTTGAGGTGGGAACCGGTGGCGCATCGTGGGGATGGAGAGGCTGCACCACTCGCACGCGTTGCAGCGAGAAGATGCTGCCTGAATTTTGAGAAATTCCTATCTGACCATTGACGACTGCATTTTTGTGCATGTCAAAACAAGCTCGAAATGCAACGGGACATTATTTCCGTGCACAAAATCGGTGCGATAAAATCTCGGTGTATTTTAATTTCTGGAGTCCTTTCTAATTCACCGAAGACCAAGCCACCAGCGCGAAGTGTGGAGCCATATATATATATTTTTCTTTTTTGGCAACAAACGGTTGCTCCAAGCTTCCAAGGCCCATAGATTCAACTGAGACGTTATTGGCGGTTTTGAGAATGGACCTTGAAGCATCAATGAACTCCCATTAGCTTTTTCTGCCTGGCGTTTATGGATGTCATCCTCTTTCGTTGAAGATGACTGTGGATGTTTGGAATGATGATGATGATGATGATGATGATGATGATGATGATGATGATGATGATGATGATGATGATGATGATGATGCGAATTAGACTCTGTAGTATTAATCATTTATAACTATTGATGTTTGATATTTTGCCGTGGGTAATCCGAAATCATGGTGGACTGCGAGCCAACTTCGGCTATTGAAGAAAATAAGGAGCCACAGCAGAAGGAACTGGCTGGTTGAATTTGGGGTTTTCTCCAATAATATTAACTATGAGTCCATTCAAACAGACCCGGAATCCTTAGTAAATGCCAGTGTGTTCATCAGTGGAACCTCGGTGTGGAAGTCGTCAGATGTGGCGTTCTGTTTTGCTTCTTCCTCGTATTACCCCTGATCAGCCACAGCGTTTCCCCAAGTTTTCGCAAATCATTGGCAAATTGGTAATAAGCTTGAAATATCCAGTTATTTAACTAGTTAACTAACTATTAGTTAACTAGTTAGTTATTGAGTATTAATAATACTTCCAACATACTGTGCTCCGTGGATATCTTCAGCCACCAGCCACCACACGGCCAGCGGCAAACCAAGAGGATATTTGTAATTGGTGAACGACACGCAAATTTGAGAAAGGCGCCTGGCGCGTATCCAATAGTCGCGATGGCGGATCCAAACCTGAGCCAATGGGGTGAAATGCTGACGCCATGGGAATATATCTGACTGACGTTGTTGGTTGCTACGTATGGTACACTGGTCCAGAGCAAACCCTCAGTCCCTGACTCTGGTACTACTCTGGCACTACTGTTAGTTAGCTTGTCACGGTCACACGGTGTCATTGAAAAATCTTCATCAACATCATGATAAAGTCTTCGTCGAACCGTCAGCCACATTCGACGGCGTTCTCCGATGACGTTGACCATGATTTTCCACCAGCAGGGGACAATCTTCTTGACTGTCTTACTAGCTTATTAGTTCCCCAGCTTGGATTGTCATAAGTCAACGCTGATTTGGCGAGTTTCTTTCGATGCACGGACTATGCCGCTACTGCGTATCAGATTTTTTAAAGTGCAACGGTGCAGCAGTCTTGTACTCCACCATCTTCGCGCCACGTCTGTAGCAGCTTCTCATCGTAACCGTGCTGCGTGAGCGAGTGAGCTGTTCGGATTAACTCGGCTAACACAATGAGTCCTCAAGACAGTGTAATATTTTAATTTTTTTTTTCTTCTCCGTCTGTAAAATGCCATTGTCACCATGTCCTGGTTGCGTCCAGGTCCACAGCAGCATTGAGGATAATTATCAGATTGATGCTATTTTGCTCCCGAGTCTCAACCCACCATTTTCCTAAAAAGGAATATAGATGATCCAAATATCCGATATGCCATGGCCCCCTCCCTGATAAATAATCTCGAGATGACGAGTGACAAAAAGCTCCAGGGCGAAGTTGGTTTCTTTCTGGATATTCGTTGACATGAAAACCCCCAAAGCCGATATTGATCGAATGGAGAAAGTTGGAAGCATTTGAGAGAAGGAAAAGAAAGACCTTTTGCCCAAATTAGCTTCGACAGATGGCACCTGCCATGAGATATTTTTCGCGAAGGAATCGTCTATTTTTATATTCTGTCTCCGCAGAGCACGTATGTACATGTGCACACATGCGTACATATATGCGCTTTCTCGTAGACATCCGTATGCCGTGAAATTCAGCGATCTGAACTTCTCGTCTACATTTATGTAGCGTCCAATACCTCTTAAGAAAGACCCTGAAACCGCCCTAATCATGGGGTTGGTCCTTGCAGGGGTTGATGTCCGTTTGTGGCTAAAAAGGCACAATGCCAAGTGGCAGCGTTGGTTGAAATCCAGGCTGTCAGGCTTCCAGTAATCGTCATATCTTCCAGTTTGGACAAGCTGAAAGACATGGATATAAACGCCATGGCGGCCTCAAGACACTTGCAGGGTCTTGAACGTGGCAGGTGATTAAGCAGTGATCTGTTGTGATGATTCCGTCCTCAGTTTGAGAACGCGCCGGCAGGTTACTTGCAGGATTGAACAAAATGTCATTGCTGCTGAACACATACAAGCGCAAACCACTCATCAAGGTTGGAGTTAGGCAGGAAATACTCCATTTTCATTGCAGCATGGTCGACACACCAATAAGCGCTACCACTCCCTCAACCATAATCCATGGCAGCGGGAGTGATAGTCTACCCGAAGAATTCCGCATGGAGTCGGGACGTAGTGTGATCGAGAAGAGCGTGAGGCCGAATCCAACAACCCTTGCGGCATGCAATGTTTCAAGACATGCACCAACTGCAGCATTTGGGAAAAAAAAAAAAGAAAGAAAGAAAGAAAAAGAAAAGGAAAGAAAGAAACAAAAAAAAAAAAAGAAAGAAAGAAAGAAAAGAAAAGAAAGAAAGAAAAATATGAGATGTGGACACTTCAAACTGAAATCAAACATCAAAGTCAGCGTGTTTCAAACAATGTATTATGATAACATCTAAAATCATACAGCACAAAAGCCGTGATCGTTTCAACCTAGCCACTTCGTGAATGACTGATATGACATCTACGTATATATGTACATTCATACAAATCCATAAGCCACTGTTAACGTGGAAGAATGCAGCTCTGGATTACACGTTGTCTCCCAGGGCCATTGGCATCTGGACATGAGAAGCTGATCTGGGCGTGGGCGATGACTTCTATTTTTACCTTTGGGAGGGTGAATGGTGAATGGTGAATGGTGAATGCGCAATTCATCGACTTGCGTAATTACATGGCAAGCGAAGAACACCAAGGGAAAAATACATCTTGTGCTTATCTCTTTGTTGAAAGAGCACCGTGAAGGGTCACCAAGGGTGAACTCATCCCGCTGACGCGACGATGGTCGCGACTTGCGTATGCATTCCGTATACACTCTGCATACATTCGGAGTATGAGCCGGACATATGTAGTTACTGTACCTACATATGACTATAAGCCTGATTTGTACTGCACTTTCAAAAGCCTTAAAATCTTATTTCTCCATGCTGACATCCATAGTGATGACTTTTCTAAACCCCTGCCAGTCAAAATATCTATGACGATTACATATGCCCCGATTGCCACAATGATGGTCCGCACTGCAACCGGAACTTGCACCGAGTTCGAACTTTTAGATCCTCACGATCGGACTTGTATTATTCCATTCCAGATGCCGGCTCAAAGATAATAGTTGCTTCCTGCTGATCCACCCTTTCTCACCCTAATTACCGCCAAGATTAATGGCTGGCGGAACCGTTTGAAAATCCCATGAAACCACGAGCTGCAAGCAAAGAATGGTACCGAGTAGTAATTTTTAGAAAAATATTCCCACGCCTTCCTCTCTCCACTTTCTTCTTCTTCTTCTTCTTCTTCTTCTTCTCTTTGTAGATAAGCGTCGTGGGGAGGAGACTATCTAGCCGACTCGACGCGAAATCACAGAAAGGGAGTTCTTCCGCGTCTTAGGGCATCTAGTAATTAATATTTTCCGAAGTTTGGGAAGACCCGCCATGAATCTGAAGAAGGTCCAGAACTAAACCCCCCAATTCTTCCTAGACAGGGAACGGAGGCTTCTTACTATTGGCAGTTATCCCATTGCTGGGTGAGCATTCCCAGGAACATATCCTGGTCAATATGCCAGAGAATTGAAACAAACACAGCTCATGCTGGTGGTGGTGGTGGTGGTGGTGGTGGTGATGATAATGAAGGGGTAACAACCTCGCCGAACAAGGCAAACCGGTCAGAGCATTCAGGCATCTGTTATGGATGAACGATGGTCGGCAAGGAGAACCGGGGTCAATGTTAATTGGCCATTTACACCTGGATCGTGGTGGGTGCCAGGATGGGTCTCCACATCTCGTATATCTCGGGATCATCATCCATGATTGGGCCGTGTTCTCAACCTTCGATCGTGACGCTGGCTAGGGCCCTCAGGGGAGCTGATTCGCTGGCTCAAACCCCCAGCATTCATTTTTTTGTTTCTTGAACGAAACGTGTTGTGCTTGAATGTGTTTTAAAATATTAAATTAGCGAGAGCCTGAGAGAAGAGGAAGGGTTCTAAAACTGCTCTTTTTTTTTTTTTTTGCTTGATGGCGCAATCCTTAAACTTTTCCCTTCCTTGACGCTCATCCAAAAGGCCATGTTCTTCAGAATCATGATATTGATCTCATCTGACGGAGTGTGGTCCTTGGAGATAACGGTTTCCGCCTTTCAATGGTAGAACTAAACTGTTGTTTTTTCATTCGACCCGTCTTCGGTGCATTAGCCGAACTATGTTTTCTACCCGCAGTTAACTATTCTTGAATAATGGAATTCTGATCAAGTTTTGTTATTTCTTTCTGCTTCTGCCGCCAGCCGTGGATCGTCTTGCTATCTTGAAGAATGGGCCGCCATAGCCCCCCTGCAGCGGGGAAGTCCTGAGACCAAGTGGCAGTGGAGTATGATTTTAGAGTAGTTAATATTAGTAAATTTTGGATAACTAATGATCAGCCATTGATTGATGCGGTGGAGAAGTTGGGATTGGCAGGATTAATAATGGACCCTCTTTACCGCTGAAGAAGAAGAATAAGTTTGAGGCTTCGATGGGGCGGATTAACCAACTTTCCAAGATTTTTTCCCTCTTTTCTTATTTTTACCTTTTTACCCTCGACACATATTTCTTCGAAATCTCAGCATCATTTATTATCTACCGTCGAACCTTCAAAACCTAAGAGACCATCGTTGACGTAGTCGACGTAGAAAGAGAGTTGTTCCGTTAGCAGCGGTGCTGGTAAATCCTGGATCTTGTTGACAGTGGACACCAGCCATTAATTAACCCTTTTGATAACTAACCCAACAACGGCAACATTTCCCAGCGACGAAACAGGGTAGTTTTGATAAAAGTGTGGCTTTTTCTTTTTTTTTTTTCTTTTTTTCTTATATTTTTGTGTCTTCTGCGAACAAATACAGCAATGGTCGGTTCCGAGAGTTTGATGGTGATGCAAGGACACCATAAACAACCCCCCCGCAAGCCCCCAGCCCCCAGTCCATCGCCGTCACACCCCCAGTGAGCCTCCCGAGAGCTCCCTCCAGGGCTGCGTGCATGGTAAGCCGGTCAAAGAGACCCACGCTATCTTCAAACATGGATATTCGCTATTACTTGTGTGACGGGGAGAGAAGTGGGGTTAGGGGGAGGTAAGGGGGATTGGGTTCCCAAACGAAGCAAGCAAACTGCCCCATGTCTGAATTGAACCTGAGTCCTGATTTATATTGCTGTGGCACTGGCACTGGCACTGGCACTGGCACTGGGCACCCATTCCAAGGGTTGTTGGGTGGTTGGTGGTGGTGGTTGGTTGACTGAATCGCTCCCTAATTTGTCCAAGCTCCCCCTTAGGGCGCGGGCAAGATTGGTCAGAACAGCGGCTCTCCAGCTCCGGCGGTAAAGTCACTGGAGCCAGATTACCATCAGCCCGAAGCACAAGAGGGAAAAGGTTAACCAAGAAAGGGGAAATAAAAAGAAACGAACATCCCCTCCCGTTGGCGGCGGCGTCCTGTCATTGGGGGAAAACGGGTTTTTGAACCTTGGAGTCAGGGAGTTGGCAGCAACTTACCAGTCCTTCGACTCCGGCGAGTGGAGGCCAATAAAGTTGCTTTTTCTTAGATTATGATTATGATTATGATTATGAATATTATTATTATTATTATTATTATTATTATTATTATTATCATCATCATCATTATTATTATATCATTTCCGCCTTTTTGCTTCCTTTTGTTGGCTCGGCGCCAGAAATGTCCTGGCCCACGGCTCTAGCCGTTAGGCGGCCACTCGCATTTGGCCCGCCTCAACCGTATTTCGTGCGCAACACACCCTTTTTGCTCCTAGCTTGGCCCAAACCCTTGTTGCGAATCATCACATCCCTGTTTTACGACGGCAAAACAGCAGGTCCCCACGATCTGGAAAGGTGTCCGTGTGTGTGTTTGTGTGTGTGTGTGCCACCAGAGTGACAGCGAGCAGCGCATGCTCTATCCGTACGGTAACTTATGCGCGAGCCCTAATAAAATAAGTTCCTAACACGACGAGCTAACTGAACGGGTTCGTCGCTCAATGCTCAGCCAGTTGCCAACTGCTTGGTTGTTTTATTTTTATTATTATTTGCTGAATCGTTTAGTTACTTCTTGCGCAATTCTTGCGATGTTTGCGATCCAACCCTCCCAACTAGTCAACTTTTATGTTAACTAACTCCGTACTTAAATCTTCTATCTTTGTAATCCTCCGCTCAGCTGGGTAGGGCCTTTTTTGGTGCTCTTGTTTTGCCCCTTCCTTGGCTCCAACTGGGCTTGAATCCCCAAAGCGGGCATCGGGCTGTGGGCAGCGGACTTGGATGTAGGTACCAGGCATATGATTGTGTTTCTGCATATATGCCATCATCAACCACCCGCCGCGCGCCCCCCCCCCCCCCCCCAGGATGGGCATTCCGTTTGCCATCATCCCCGCATCCCATGCCCATGTGTATCCAGTACATATTTGTAAGGCTTTTGCTCGGCTGTTAACCTGTCCCACTGCAGGGGTATATATATATATATATATCATAAATGCAGGACTGCACATGCTTTGCTTGCTCTGTCGTCCTAACTTGTCTTCCTTTGGATTTCCTAAAAAGGGTCCCCTGTCTGATTCTTGTGTCAGAAGAAGAAGAAGAAGTGGAACGTTCGTTCTGCATGCTCCAAAACGCACCTCCCAAGGCCCTCTTTGCAACTGCGTGATTGTCCACTTTTTTTTTTTGCCTCGTGTCTCAAAATAGTCAAGCCTGGCGATCTAAGATCTGGGCTGCGGAGTCTGTCGAAAAGAGGTAATGTAAAAGAAACCTTGATACCTTAGCCCCGAGCACTAACTCGGTTTTAATTTTGATCGAACTTGTATCGTTCTGTTCTGTTCTGTTCTGTGGACTATTATATGAATCCTCCCATGCCCGCCCACCCAGAACCCACCCCGCCCTCCTCACTCCCTAACTTGTTGTTCTCTTGCACCTGTCCTAGTGACCAACAACCTCCCGTTCCCCCTCCCTTATATATTCTTACGTCTCCTTCTATTATATTACCGACCCTAGCTATCTATACTTCGCCAGCATATATTAATATTGGCCCGTCAACTAATTCATCCTGTATTAGAATTACTACTTCTGGTCAAACCTGTCTTGTATACTCTCTTCTTCAACCGTCTGTTGGGGGCCGGCGGTGAAACCTCTCCCCTATTGGCGGAACTGTTGAACGGATTGATATCTATATCTCGAATAAATTGTTATTCTATAATAGTATTACTCTTTTGAAGAGACGATGGCACCAACCCAACGACGGGGGCCGTGGGTTCCCGAAGAAGATCAAACTTTACTTCAACTGGTGCGGAGCCAGGGTCCAAACAACTGGGTTCGCATTTCCCAACACATGCAATTCCGATCACCCAAGCAATGCAGAGAACGATTTCACCAAAACCTAAAACCATCGCTAAATCATGAGCCGATATCCGCTGAAGAAGGAATGATGATCGAGAGGATGGTCCACGAAATGGGAAAGCGATGGGCGGAGATTGCAAGAAGGCTTGGGAACCGAAGCGACAATGCTGTTAAAAACTGGTGGAATGGCTCCATGAACCGAAAGCGGAGGGGATTGATTGTTCCGGGTAGTGGGAGCCACTCCCCCTCTCGAACATTGAATGGGCGTGTCGATCCTCCTTACCCCAAACAGCCCGTGACGATGCACAGTCCCTGCGACAGAAGCCCTTGTCAAGACAGCAGCTATGGAACTCGAAGGACCTCCTGGGTTTCCATTCCGCAGCGCGATCAGCAGCATCCGGGCACCAGGTTACAGTATCCTCAGACTGATACGAAAGAACGAAGAGAGCTGTGTTCATCCGCAGAGTATGAGTATGACTCTCAGTTCGAATGGCCAAGACGAGCGCTTATCCACAGGTCTCCGATCAGAAACCACCGCCAACTCAGCCCTATAGTGACTTATATCCCTCACATGCACACGGAATTGCCTACCATATCCTCTCCTTCTACTTCAGAAATTTCCAACCCCATCTCATCCAGGCCACCCTCGATGGTTTCCGACCACAACTCCATATGTTCTGCATCTCCCCGGACTGCTGCATCCCCTTCCATGCTCCCAGTGCCGGTAGAAATCCACCCTGGACAAGATGAACGCCGCAGGGGCAGTGCCTCAACACTCCGATCATTTTCTAACCCATTTGCCCACGATGAAAGTTACCATGAGTCTACTACGTCTAAAAACATCGAATATCTTCCGGAACCGCCCGTTCCGCGACGTTGGGCCCCTGGCCTTCCTGTTGCATATCCTCAAGAATCCCTTCGGCACCAACATTGGAAACACCAATATTCCAATTCAGCACCCCAGAGCCAGCTTGCCCCGACAACGGATTCTCGAACTCAAGCTCCGTCACCACCTCGAGATTCGAGGATGGGACTCGAAACATTGCTGAATTAAAGTCGCGTTGCCAAATTTCCCTATTAATCTATTCTGGCTGTTTTCGAAGCTTTTGGGTACCGGTGGAGTAATGTTTCTCCTTTTGCGGATTTCCTTTTGTTTTAAAACATTTTGTTCATCACTAATCAGCATGTGTGGGTGTGATTATTATTCTCCACCAAGTCTCTTTTCATAGGCGGGGCGCGGATTCTTACTAGCGTTAAACAACGAAGAAAGTGCATCATCCATCTCTTATCATTATCGCCATTGCTGTTGCGATCGTCATTCTTATTTTATTTTATTTAA